AGCTGACGGTGCACCAGGCCGTCCACACGGAGGAGAGACTCTTGTCCTGCTATGGAGACGGGGGGGCGTTCAACCCCTTCCTCCAGATGCACCCGCTCCTACTGTCTGTGCCCCAAGCCAAGTGCCTCTGGAAGCCGTAACGCCATGTACATAAGGCGGGAGTTACAGAAATGCTACGTCCCCTGAGCAGGAGCAGAGGAGGAACAATGCTGTAATTTAGGATTTGGACATGCCGTGGTGCTGTACAGTGTGCTGATGAAATAACCGGCTCCCTGCCACAGGGAGCAACCAGGCTGAAGGCCTGCGCCGACGAACCAACCGTGCATCCCTAAGGAAAACCCAACTGCACATTCCCTACACAACGCAGCTCCAGTTCAAATGCACACGCAGGCTCGAGTCTTGCCCTGAAGGATGCCAAAGCTGTTGTACTAATTCCATTTGCTGGGTGAGAAATACCCCCAGAGGTGCTAGAGAGAACGTCTGACACGGGGGATGGGAGATTTCTGGGAAGGGACCTGTGGTGTATGGAGCAGTGCTTGGAAATGACACGGCCTGGGTTAACCGATGTGGGATCTACATCTTACTACTGAGAGGAGCTGTCGGTGCTGGCAGGACTCTCCAGCCGGTTCCTGTGTGGAGCAAACATAGCAGCGTTGTTCTGGCGAAGGCCAGTGGTTTCTCAGGGTGGGGGGTGCTGTGCTGTGTGGTGGTGTTAGGTCAGGCCCAGTGGGTACTTGGGGGGTGGGCGAGGCTTTGCTACTGCGCTGTGGTTATGGCTTATGCTAGCAGCTCCTCAGTGGAACTACTGGACAGACCTGACGGACGGCGCCTGTTCCAGCCGGGCCGGTGACAGTCTGGGAAATGAAAGAAAATCTCAGTTGAGTGTGGACTTGAGAACTCCAGGTGCAAGGCCCTGGAGCAATAATTACTGTAGTGCTGTTTACTCTCTCTTCTCTTACTGACTCTATTTACCCACCAGGAGTGTGCACTGGGCTTCGCAACCGAGTATGACCTGATCCCTGACCTGAGAGGTGACCATCTCACGGAGACCACCTAGCGATCTTACAGCGAATCACAGAGTCGTAGGGTGGGAGGGACCTTGAGAGGTCATCTAGTCCAGTCCCCTGCACTCACGGCAGGACTAAGTATTATCCAGACCATCCCTGACAGGGGTTTGTCCAACCTGTGCTCAAAACCCTCCAGTGCCAGAGAATAGTTACAGCTGGAAAAGACCTATTGGTCATTTTGCCCATTCCTAGCCAATGCAGGGTCGGTCTCTACTCTGTATGTTCTAGGAATGTGTCCAGCCTACTGTTAAATGTCTCCAGCGATGGGTCTTCCCTCGCTCCCTTGTGAGGTCTGTGCACACTCCAATAGACACTAACTACTTCTCATCTTGTATAAAAGGACTTGGGTTTAGTTGCTAGTTTGTAGTTAGGAAAAGGGTCATTTTAAAGTTAACATTTGTCGTTCTCCGTGTGGCTATCCTAGAATCCTAGTCATTAGATTTGGAAAAGAACTAATAAGTCTTCTAATAAAATCTAGTACTTCTCCCCGCCAGTGCACGCCTGTTCCCTCCAGTGCTCTGTCCGTGTCCCAAACTCTGGGGTGTCACCACTCTGGGGAGATGGTTCCACAGCCTGAAACATCTCTCGGTTGGGAAGTTTTTTCTGACATTCAGCTTTAAGCCTTGATTTCGTCCAGTTATCCCCACCTTGCACTACTGTAAAACTCTCTCTCCCGTGGGCCGCCCCATGTTTCCCCCGGATTGTTATCGGGTCCCGTCAGGTCACTGCTCAGCGAAGCTGGACGTACTTGTCTCTTTTGCTTATTCCTCACCAATCAGTCCCTCGTGCCCCCAGATCACTTTGTGGCTCTTCTCTGAACGAGCATCGGTATTTTTCCAGCTCTCCTGAGGGGTCCCGAACAGCCCGCCGTCTCCAGTGGGTTATCCCAAGGCAGAGAGCTGGGTGCTGTCACCCCTTTGCCCGTTGCACAAAGCCTCTGTGTCTTGGCCTTTTTAGCTGCCATGTTGGACTGGAAGCTCCTGGCCAATGTGCTGCTGTTCACTGTCTTCCCCAGGTCCCTATCCATGTTTCCTGCTTCCTGGATTCTTTCCTTCCCACTGACTCTCTGCAAGGCAGATGCTGCTTCCCTAATAACAGGCTCTTACCGCCTCTGCTAGGTGGTTCGTGAAGAAATGGCGTAAATCTGGAGTTCCCAGTAACACAGACTTGGCACCCGCTGAGCACTTGCTCCCAGCTCTGTACTTTGGCCTGTTGTTATAACTCTTGGCGAACACTTCTTCAGCCAGTGTTCAGGCCGTGGGATGATCTCTGCTGATGCTGGGTCGGCCGGGACAATACGTTTTGTTGAGATGCTCTGTCAAGTGCTTTACTCACAACCAAGTGTGTCTTCTCTAGTGCTTTTCCTCCACCTGCTGATTTTGTCAGAAGAAGTGATCCGGGCACTGCCTGCTGCTGCCGCCTCCCTACCCCAGACGCCTTCTGGGAGCGGGAGCTAAGACACCCTGGCTCTCCCTGCTCCAACCTGTGCTGCTCTTTTCCCACCGTGGCGGAGACGTGCTCTGGGCTGGGGTGCTTGAGAAAATGGACCGTCCGTAGGGTTGGTCAACCAGAGGTTACGGATGAATAACTGACCGAGAACCACAACAAATAGGAGGGGATGGGATGTGGAGAGAGTCCCATGTTGGGTCTACTCTTCCCCCATCCCCAAATCCCTCTGTTAAAGGAGCCCAGGGGGCATGCATTACGTGAATCATAGAATCATAGAATATCAGGGTTGGAAGGGACCTCAGGAGGTATCTAGTCCAACCCCTTGCTCAAAGCAGGACCAATTCCAACTAAATCATCACAGCCAGGGCTTTGTCAAGCCTGACCTTAAAAACCTCTAAGGAAGGAGATTCCACCACCTCCCTAGGTAACCCATTCCAGTGCTTCGCCACCCTCCTATTGAAAAAGTTTTTCCTAATATCCAACCTAAACCTCCCCAACTGCAACTTGAAACCATTACTCCTTGTTCTGTCATCTGCCACCACTGAGAACAGTCTAGATCCATCCTCTTTGGAACCCCCTTTCAGGTAGTTGAAAGCAGCTATCAAATCCCCCCTCACTCTTCTCTTCTGCAGACTAAACAATCCCAGTTCCCTCAGCCTCTCCTCATAAGTCATGTGCTCCAGCCCCCTAATCATTTTTGTTGCCCTCCGCTGGACTCCTTCCAATTTTTCCACAAAACTTTTCATGATCCAGCCATTTCACGTCAACTTTTGACTTACAGACACCGCGTGAAGGGCGTTGGTTTGGGCCAAGTAAGCGACTGAAGGGAAAATGCAACAGAGAGTCCTGTGGCACCTTTAAGACTAATAGACGTATTGGAGCATAAGCTTTCATGGATGAATACCCACTTCATCGGATGCAGCATTCACCCACGAAAGCTTATGCTCCAATATGTCTGTTAGTCTTAAAGGTGCCACAGGACCCTCTGTTGCTTTTTACAGATCCAGACTAACATAGCTCCCCTCTGATACCTGTGGGGAAAATGGCAGCCAAAGGGACTGGCCGGAGCGACGGTGAAACGATGGGTGCGTTGGTCCAGGAGACCAAAATCCCACATGGGGGAAAGGAGAACAAGGGGGGTTTCTATAGGGCTTAAGTGGTGTCTAGGCCTTGTCTGGCTCTGTAACGGGTTGTGCTCACCACCGTGGTGCCTCCTGCTGGTTGCTCCGGGAATTCGCTCTGTCCATCAGCAGGGCGCCCTCCTCTTGTGGCATCTCAGTCTCCGTCGCTGCTTCTCCACCATCTCTGCTGTCTGTGGGGACCCACGTCACTCCCGGACTGCGGCGTCCTCTTCAGGGCATGGCCCTCCGGCTGCGCCCTAACTCCGTTGTCTCCCCCCTTCTGGGCGAACTGCAGCCCCTAGTCCAGCCCCTCGCTCAGGGGCAAACTGCAGTCCTTTGGCTGTCCACATCCCTCGGTGGCCAGTGGGGCAAAGGGGGGGGGGGCGCCAATCCAGGGACCCTATAACTGGCAGCCGCTCACAGCCTCTCCTTCCCCTCTGCCGCTACCTGCTTTTCC